GTTATAAGAAAAAAGTTATTAAACCTGTTATACTGTATTATGACAGCACTTTTTTTAAAACTAAATTTCAACATCGTGATAATACCGTATACTGTGATAAAAGCATTAGCAATTAATCGCAACATGAAAATTTGATACCGGCATATCCCTAATTTGAACATACTTTTTCAAGTTGTAAATTGAATGATACATTTTGAATACTTCTATTTGTCATTAAAACCAAAACATAATTTGATATATATATGTATATATATAGAGAGAGAGAGCATATATATACATTTAAAATTTGAAAAATCTTCTTTTTCTTATTTTCTAAATGTACAAGATGGAACGTTTTTATTGGTATTTTTGAACTCAGCATTGTCAAATTAGGTAATAATAGGCCTTTTTGGTAATCAGCAGATTTTTTTTCAAGATGCAGGGCTGTTATTTTTATATTTTATGTCTTGATATTTCACAAATTGTGATGTAAAGCAAGCATTCAAGTAGCAATGAATTAATATAACAAGTGAAAGAACTAAAATTAGATTAAAGAACAAATTACAGAAAGAAAGAGAGGGAAAACTGAAAGAGATATAAATGAATCAAATGAAAAAGATCAAACAAAACACATTGAAGAATAAACAAAAGCTGAAACAAACAAATAAGAGAGAATGAAAGATGAACAAAAACTAAACCAAGGAGGAATGAAATCAATAAAATTGAAATGAAAAAAAGAACAAAAGAATGAACAAGTGAAAAATACACAAAAACAGACTAAAGAAAAAGAATGCAAGAACAAACTAGGGATCAAATGAACAAGCAAAAAATAACAAAAATGCAAGCAAAAGTGATTGATGAAAGATCGAATGAGCAACATCAAATGAAAACAGAAAAAAACAAGATCAAACAAAAGAACTAAAGAATGAATAAAACAGAAATAAAGAACAAATTAACAACAACAGAACAAACAAAATATAAAACAAACAAGAGAGACTGACTAAAATCAACAAATGCAAACTAAATACAACATATATATATAAATATAAATAAAAGCAATCAAAATACAAGGAAAAAGAAGGAAAGAAAGGAAAACCAAAGGCGTTCCATCTCCCAGGAGGGGCAATGGCCCGTCAGGGGGCATTGTGGGATACTTTTTTTCGTATTTATTGACTGATTCCAAAGCTGCCGGCAAACAATACAGCACAGTGAGCATCCACACGAATCAAAGCAAATAATAAACATGACTGAACACATAAAGCACACAGTGAAAAGCAAAAGCATGCCTCTTTTCACATCTCGCTAACGAAAACAAAAACACAAAACCTGTCCAGACAAAAGATGCTTCAGAATCGTCATTGTGAGAGAGAAGACGAGAGCATTTTTTTTAATGTTTCGGCAAAAGGAAAAATAATAGCACATGGCCACCATTATTTTCAACTCAGTAAACACAGTAAAACCACAGCTTTCACCTCTCTGGTTTTTAGTGAGGGTTTTTTCTTTGCATCCGTGCAGGGAAAGAAAAATCACCTCAGTACAGAACAGCATGAGGACAGGAGGGAAGAGGGAAGAGGTGGGGTGGGGTTTCACAGAAGAACACGTCCACTCTCACTTTCCCAGCGCTGAAACGCGACGCCGCTCGCCGGGAATCCACGCTCGGACCCGACGCTGCTGTGATGTCAGAGAAAGGGGAGGGGCTTCCGTTGATTGGACGAGAGGGGCGGGAGGGGGAACAGGAAGTCTCTTTGGGAAGAAAGAAAGGTAAGCAGGCTTCGCGTTAGCCTGCCCCTGGTACTTACACTGGACCTGGAGGATCTGGTCGCTCAGGTTGGCCTTGATGTGGTTTTCACTGTAGGACGGCAGAACTAAACCAAGACTGCAAGGAAAGAAAGGAAGAATTTCAATATCTTTTGCATATGACCACATCTGGCGCTTTCTAGGATACAAACTAGCAACCAGTCACACTTTTTTAAAGCAAGTGCATGATATGTGACAAGTTTAAAGCATGAAATGTAACATGTTTAAAAAATATTAAAAAATCTAAGGTTCTGCACTTAAGAAAAAAAAACATTTTATTTTTATTTTTTTTCCAGTACAAATATCTAAACATTATTAAATCAGCATACAATTACTGGAGAAGCAATATGACTTAAGATATTAAGTCTTGTTTTCTGAAAAAAATTAAGTGAGTTTATACTTAAAACAAGAAAAAGGGAAGGGAATACAAGATTATTTTTTTTATTTTGCTGGCAGACTTCTTGTTTTAAGTTAGAACTCAATTTTGATACATTTTTCAGAAAACATTATATAACTTTGCTTCTTAAGTAAATGTATCTTGATTTAAGAATGTTTAGATATTTGTACTGGAAAACAAGACAAAAATACTGAGTAAGAACAAAATATTATATTCAGATATATATTCAAATACTGTTGTGCTGACAGCACAACATTATAAAATCAATATTTTTCTTTAATTTATTTGTAATATAAGTAACTACTAAGTAACTACTAACTAGACTTGGAACCAGTTATATTTAGGTAAGGCAAGTTTACTTATATAGCACATTTCATAAACAATGGCAACTTAAAGCACTTTATATCTTTACATTGACTATTAATTGAAAGAGATTGAAATCATTCATTTTAAAGTCATCAACAGAAATGCAGTATGAATGAGAGTGTGTCATATTGACCTGTAATCTGTGCCCTCCACTGGACTCCATATGTACGTCCTCTGGACCTCGTCAATGTAATGCTAAAAATACACCCAGAAATAGCAGCACATTACCAACCAGCCGTAAGATCATCACACTGTATGCCATTATATTTAGTAAGAGGTCATGTGACTCACCTCATCCACAGACTTCACCAGTGTCTTGATTCTCCTCTGTCCTGCTTTGCCATCAATCATTTGACGGCGGATCTACAAAAAGATAAATACAAGATAGAATCAGAATCAGAATCAGAATCAGAATCAGAAAGAGCTTTATTGCCAAGTGTGTTTGCACATACAAGGAATTTGTTCTGAAAGCTTCCAGTACACAGAGACAACAACAATAACACAGTTAATAAGAAAATACACATTTGTAACAGAAATAGACAAAATGTGTTGTGGTACATAGATGGAATAGAATAGAATTTACAATGTAGGGTAGTATTAAGTAAATAAAAGTGGTATTTGCACATCTTTTTATTGAACAGTAGGGGAGAACATTTAACTGTTCATGAGGTAGATTGCCTGGAAGAAGAAACTATTCTTGTGCCTGGCAGTCCTGGTGTTTGGTGCTCTGTAGCGCTGGCTAGATGGTAAAAGTTCAAAAAGAAGGTGGCTTGGATGAGAGTGATTTTCTGAGCCCTTTTCCTCACTCTGGATATTTACAGTTCTTGAAGGGTGGGCAGGGGAGCACCAATAATCCCCTCAGCAGTCCGAATCGTCCTCTGTAGTTACTGAAGTGCACAGAACAGACTCAATGACGGCTGAGTGGAACTGTGTGAGCTTCTATATGCAGACTCATCACCGTCCTGGATGAGGCCGATGACTTTAGTGTCGTCTGCAAACTTCAGGAGCTTTAAAGTGGGGTCAGTAGAGGTGCAGTCGTTGGTGTAGAGGGAGAAGAGCAGTGGGGAGAGGACACATCCCTGGGGGGCGCCATTGCTGATTGTGCGGCTGTTTGAAATGAATTTCCCCAGTCTCCCTAGCTGTTGCCTATCTGTCAGAAAGCTGGTGATCCATTGACAGATAGAGCTAGGAACAGAGAGCTGGGTTAGTTTGGTCTGGAGGAGTGCTGAGATGATTGTATTGAAAGCTGAAATGAAGTCCACAAACAGGATCCTCACAGAAGTATCTGGTTTGTCTTGATGTTGTAGGATATAATGCAGTCCCACGTTGACTGCATCATCCACGGACCTGTTTGCTTGATAAGCAAACTGCAGGGGGTCCAGTAAGGGTGCAGTGATGTCCTTCAGAAAAGCCAACACCAGTCTCTCAAACGAGCTTATGACCACAGATGTTAGGGCAACACGTCTGTAATCTTTAAGTTTATGTTACTTTATTTCATTATCCTTATTTAAAATGGCCTCATCGTATTACTAGATCAGATTACTATTTTGCAGTGTGTTCTTGGATTGTAAACACATTAAAGGGATTTAAACATGATTTAAAATCAAGCTGTGACGTTCTCAAGTCGCTGTAAAGTTTTCCAGGTACATACTGTTCAAAAGTTTGAGGTTGGTAAAAATGTTTTTGAAAGAAGTCTCTTCTGCTCACCAAGGCTGCATTTATTTGATCAAACCCCGAATTTTTTTCCACCACCATGTCCCTTTAGGGGCTCCGTATTTTTCTGCTCAAGAAACATTTCTTATTATTACCAATGTTGAAAATCAGTTGTGCTGCTTGATATTTTTGTGTTTTTTTTTTTTAATATCAGGATTCTTTGTATGTTACTTTATTTCATTATCCTTATTTAAAATGGCCTCATCGTATTACTAGATCAGATTACTATTTTGCAGTGTGTTCTTGGATTGTAAACACATTAAAGGGATTTAAACATGATTTAAAATCAAGCTGTGACGTTCTCAAGTCGCTGTAAAGTTTTCCAGGTACATACTGTTCAAAAGTTTGAGGTTGGTAAAAATGTTTTTGAAAGAAGTCTCTTCTGCTCACCAAGGCTGCATTTATTTGATCAAAAATACAGTATAAACAGTAACATTTTGAAATATTATTACAATTTAAAATAACTTTTCTATTTACATATACTGTAAAATGTAATTTATTTCTGTGATCAAAGCTGAATTTTCAGCATCATTACTGCAGTCTTCAGTGTCACATGATCCTTCAGAAATCATTCTAATATGCTATTTTTTCTACGGAGTTTTTTTTTTAATATCAGGATTCTTTGATGAATAGAAAGTTCAAAAGAACAACATTTATTTGAAATAGACATTACACATGTCTTTACTGTCACTTTTGATCAATTTAATGCATCCTTGCTAAATAAAAGTATTCATTAAAAATCTTGATCCCAAACAGAGTAAGTGAATTGGGAATTTTGTTCCAAGACCCAAAAACGCTCTTCATCCAGAAGCACGTCCTACTTTGCTAAACCTGGCCATGTTGTTTGATGAGTAATTTAATGACATTTTAATAATGTATTTGGCACATTTGCAGGGAGAACTCGTTGTAGAGATGTTCACCTCCTCCTTGTTGCGGTCTGGAAGTTCAGCATCCAAGAAGTCCAATGTGACCGGCTCTCTGAAGTTAATGATCTACACAAATCCATTAGGAAAAAAATATTATTACGGTTACAGAGATGAACATGCATTTAAGAATGGAAGGTAGAAAAAGAAAATAACTACATTTTGGTCTAAATTTAAGGTCTACAAACTCAAATGCTTTTCACCTTAGGCTGTAGGTTGGGGTGCAGCAGCACATAGCCATTGGGATCGATGGCAAACGTGTAACCATTGGCTCCAAGCTGTGTACAGAGATGCAAATTAATGACTGATGATCAAAAGAAAAGTGACAGAAAAAGTGATTTATTTCACTTACCTTATACCGCGGTGTGAGTTCTTTAATTTCACTGAGGGCGATGTCTACACCCATGACACCAAGAATCAACTGATTCTGCAATAAAGAAACCAACAGACTGAAAAATACAATTAACGACCACAAGGGGGCAGAATTGATATTTGACAAAACTACAGGTAATATAACAGTCAAATCAAACAGTTAAAAACCAAACTGGATTAATGCCCGGAGAGTGAAATGTTTGTCAAACAAGCACATTTATAGATTTTTATGTTATACATAATGTTGAGTTGTTGTATCATAGTTATCATTACCATTGTCAAAGTCTAAAAGGATATAGCTTTGGTAAGAAAGCATCTGCTATGGACATAAATTGAAGAGCAAATAAAACGAGAAGCGAATATGCCTCCAGGAAAAATAACCGATATGTGATGACGCGCAGTGTGTTGAATTATAATGTGCTCTGCATTTATCAGTCACACTGGCAGGACAGTTCTAATGGAATCTTTCATCTAATGGAAATATTACTCATATCAATGCACTAAAAAAAATTTGTGCAAACACTACTGATTCAATTCTGAACCATTCAGCCAAACAGACGATGTTAAAAATATAGTTTTACCTGGAAATATAAGTCATGGAAGTGATGGCAACTGCATTCAAGGCAATTATAATAAATAAATATTATATATATATATAAAACCCAAATGCTGTTAATAAATGTTAATTCAATTTCCATTAATTCCAGGCTATTATAATAAATAAATATATATATATATATATAAATATATATATATATATATATCTCAAATGACTTTTATGCATTATAATAATTATTTTTCACCAACAAAAATGGTTTTAAGCCATAACTGAGATTTATCTCACTGGATTATTATAAACTATTATTATAAACTAAATATAAACGGATATTTCCTACTGACAAACTACAGCAAAATATATAAATTCCTGGCTTAAAACCATTGTGTTTTTGTTTTTTGGTTGGTGAAGATACTAATGGCCTAAGACTTTTGCACAGTAGTGTGTGTGTGTGTATATATATATCCAAATTCAGTAAATAATCAAACAATTATTTAGAACACCACACTAATTATGGACATATTTTATTAACATCTGACAACAAGAAAGTGGCCAAATGTAAAATATTAAATACTATAATTATTTTATATATATATATATAAAAAAAAAATTAAGTTCATCACACTGTTTAACTAACATCTGACAGACGGAAATGATCCAAATACTGATAAAATGATAAAACACATATACTGAAATATACTGTTCAACAAAAAAAAAGTTCATTTAAACCTTTCAGACTTTTTGTGCACTGTTTTGCCCGATAAATGTGATTGTGTAATTCAACAACATTCATACCGTTTAACTGTGGTTTAAGTTTTCAAATACAACTGTATGCACTATTAATGATATTAAACTTCAAACCGAACTTCGAATCACACTCAAATGCCCTTGTGCGTCTTCAAAGTCAAGCCCTATTCAATATGCATTCAACACGATTGTGAAACATGCCGCTCTCAAACAGTTTGTCAATGTCAGTTAGGGAACATGCTAAGAATTAGAACTGGAACGTGATCACACTAATAATGCAAAAACTCCATAATGCAACATTTGCATCGTCCTGCGGGGTACGAGAAACAAATGACTAGCTGTTCATTTACAGGGATTTTCTCACGACTTACTTTGGAGTCCCCGTCAGTGGTGAGATTGAAGACTGGCATTGTGCCGGTAATGACGAGCCCCAAACCCTGTAAAACAAAACAAAAACAAACGATGCAATATAAAATGTTTGTTTTCATCGCTGTGAACTAAAGGAAGTTCACAGTACACTGCACACATGAATAAAAGACTGCCGCATGTAAACCGCCGTCCAACTCGTAGTAAAATGATATGGTCAATGACAAAGCAAACTAGCTGTGGAGATTCAAATTTGTGCATTCTGGAAAGAAAACAAAGAATGAACAATATCACAGTCAGTGGCCGCTGACTGTGATATACAATGACCGCTGACTCTAACAATGCAATCTGAAACTCAGTCTTAAATCAATGTTTGTGTGTTTCAGTGTTTCCTACAGAATGTAGTTCTTGCAGCGGGGTGCTGTAAACCCCTAACGCGCTAAACAACATTTCTAACAGCATTTCTTCAACAATTTATAAACAAAACACTTATTTTAATAGAGCTCTGTTATGCATATGTATATTTAAGCACACTTTGTCCCTAGACCAAGCAGTCAGTAAGTAGACTGAATAAAGTTTTACTAACCTTACAAATGAACATTCATTTCAAAAAGTTTACGACTCAGACTTAACAGTGAGAGCGGTTCAGTGAGTGAGTCATCCAAGCTGATTCACTCAGAAAGTGAGTCACCTGACTGATTCAGTCCATGATTCAGACTGATGATGCGGGTGTTCTATACCAATTGAGTCACTTACTGGTGAATCATTCGAAAGAATCGCACCAATCAGTGGATTTATTTGCACAGAAATGCAATACAATTCAACTATTTATTGTCAATATGCTATTTTGTAGTTAAATGTATGTGCAATGATTCCTATTATCAGCTATATTTCATCCAGAAATGTGTAACCTAAGGGTACGTTTACACAACGATTTTGTACTAAAAAGAGAAAAGTTTTTCCTTTGCGTTTTGATTGTCAAAACAATCCCCGTTCACAGGATCCACAGAAACGACTAAAAATGCTGTTTTATGCATGCCAGGCCAGTAGTTGGCGATGTCACTTTGTAAAAAACACTATGAGCATGCATACATACCTATAGACACATAATACGCATATGCATGATGTCACCATTTTCACAAAACAGTATTGTTTTTAAAAACTCCAAACTGTGTTTTCAAAACTCCAAAATGCCGTTGTTGTGTGAATGAACGTCCAAAATGCATACAAAGTTTTTAGCTGAAAATGCTGTTGTGTAAATGCCCCCTTAATCAGTGGTTATCAAATGGTCGGTCATGAACCCAAAATAAGGTAATGGAAATATTAATGTCAACTATTGATTATGATATTAATATAGATGCTTGATTTAAAAGCATTTTTCTGCAAGATAAACAAGCATTTAATAAACAAACACACAGATCAAGTGGGCTCAGATTTTGCGCAGGCTGATCCATTGGCCATATTTGAAATTATACAGTGAAAGTTTGAGTTTGCTGAGTCGATGATGGTAATCTTCCATACCAGAGCATCCTGGTAAACATTGGTCCACTGCACTTGTTTAGCCCGTTCGCCTGCCAGCACCATTGGCCGTCCAAGAACATCCAAATACTCCTGATAACACAAAAACAACAACAAAGAATTCATCACTTTATTCCAGTTCAGTTTTACAACAAACACACCCAGAATCACCAATCGAAACAATCTATTCTCAACAGATTACAACTAATATCACTCTGAGCTCTGGAAGTGCGACACTAAAGGCCGGAGTCCACACCTCCCTCTGTCATAAAGCAAACGACTGCGACTCGCCGCTCCATTACATAAAGTACACTGTTAAAAGCGTCCGCCCGAGGGGCCAGTAAAGCCAGCTGTACAGAGGCACTTCCAGCCGTAACAAATCACCATAAAGCAGCTATTAAAGCATATTACAGCTGCTAGAAAGCATATTCTTGCTCTGGAGGGGTAGGGTGGGCTGCCACAGGACGACACTTGTTGGGTCGCCGTAAGCACACGTTTATAAATGACACTGTGGATTTCAACACAACACTCTTTGGGAGCATTACCATTGTCAAAGTCTAAAAGGATATAGCTTTGGTAAGAAAGCATCTGCTATGGACATAAATTGAAGAGCAAATAAAACGAGAAGCGAATATGCCTCCAGGAAAAATAACCGATATGTGATGACGCGCAGTGTGTTGAATTATAATGTGCTCTGCATTTATCAGTCACACTGGCAGGACAGTTCTAATGGAATCTTTCATCTAATGGAAATATTACTCATATCAATGCACTAAAAAAAATTTGTGCAAACACTACTGATTCAATTCTGAACCATTCAGCCAAACAGACGATGTTAAAAATATAGTTTTACCTGGAAATATAAGTCATGGAAGTGATGGCAACTGCATTCAAGGCAAGGAGGAATGGCAGAGGATCGCCAAATCCAGGTGTGAAAAACTTGTTGGATCTTTCCCAAAAAGACTCATGGCTGTATTAGATCAAGAGGGTGCTTCTACTAAATACTGAGCAGAGGGTCTGAATACTTAGGACCATGTTATATTTCAGTTTTTCTTTTTTAATAAATTTGCAAAAATGTCAACAATTCTGTGTTTTTCTGTCAATATGGGGTGCTGTGTGTACATTAATGAGTAAAAAAAATTAACTTAAATGATTTTAGCAAATGGCTGCAATATAACAAAGAGTGAAAAATTTAAGGGGGTCTGAATACTTTCCGTACCCACTGTATATATATAATATAAATGTAATAATACTCTATATTATTATTATTACATCTATTTATCTATCATCAAAATTATTAGTTAATCAAAATAAAGCTGAAATAAAATAAAGCAGAAATATGATATGAAAATATGTAAAAATGTAAACACAAATTAGAAATAAGTTATTAAAATGATTAAAAAGTAATTATTAAAATAAGTTTAAGTTGAAGTAATAAAAATACTAAAATGAACTAAATATATTAAAACCAAACAGAAATAGAAATGAAAAATGTGTATACTAAAAATATTTATATATATGTATAGATAGATAGATAGACAGATAGATAGACGATAGATAGATAGACGATAGATAGATAGATAGACAGATAGATAGATAGATAGATGAGAGATAGAGAGATAGACAGACAGATAGATGAGAGATAGATAGATAGATAGATAGATAGATGAGAGATAGATAGATAGACAGACAGACAGATATAGATAGATAGATGAGAGATAGATAGACAGACAGACAGATAGATAGATAGATAGATAGCTGTACAGAGGCACTTCCAGCCGTAACAAATCATCATAAAGCAGCTATTAAAGCATATTACAGCTGCTAGAAAGCACATTCTCGCTCCGGAGGGGTAGGGTGGGCTGCCACAGGACGACACTTGTTGGGTCGCCGTAAGCACACGTTTATAAATGACACTGTGGATTTCAACACAACACTCTTTGGGAGGTTAATCATTCAAAGAAGTGAACCTCATTAAAAGTGTCTGAAAAGAATGGGGTCATATTAGACCCCAAAAGAGTCAAAAAGAGGAAATTAAGCTTATTTTAGGAAAAAATCTCATTCTCATCACTGTAAAAAATAATAATAAAAAAACAAATAATAATAATATATATATACAGTGGGTACGGAAAGTATTCAGACCCCCTTAAATTTTTCACTCT